GAGGGATGACCCAGAAGCATTGCCAAATCAACGGTCGCTGTGGTAAACACAGTCGACCAGGCCGCAGCAGATGACATCGGTAATACTTGAGACAAACACACAGACGTGCACACACACACACACACACACAGAGAGAGAGAGAGAGAGAGAGAGAGAGAGAGAGAGAGAGAGAGAGAGAGAGAGAGCGCTGTTTGTCTCAAATACTACCGCTGCCGTGAACTGCAGACATTTTGTGTGTGTGTGAGAGAGAGAGGAGGGGGAAGAATGAGGAAGTGAGAAGGAGTCCGAGGAGGGAACGAAAGGGGATAGATGAGGGCGAATGTGAGACTTATGCTTGAGGCGTACCTTCTCGATGGGATTAATACCCTTGCGATACTTCTCCTTGAGAACGTAATAACCCTTTGGGTCTCTCGCGACACGCGGATCGAGTCTCTCAGGATCGATATCGAGGATCTGAGCAGTTGAATTCCTCATCCCCTGACCATCCGTCCGGCTCCCGACCCCATTCTCAGTGGTCCCAGCATCAGTGTCGCGTTTAGCGGAGGTTTCCTGCCCTTTCTGCTCGCCGGCCGAGATGTTGGCCGACACCGACCAAGGTCGCGACGACGCGTCGCAAGTTGAAGACGCAGCACGTTCAGACACACCGACTGTGTTATTCAGATCCCGACCTGGACATGCCCATCGCCTTCCCCAAGAGGAGGAAGGTAGTATATGCTGATTTCGGAGGTACGCTTGCCTCTGCCGCTGCATGCGATCGGGAGCTTGACGGCAGTAACTCGTCAGACACGTGTGGTTAGAGGCCTTGGACAGATCTTGCGGTTGACCGGCGCGCCATGCGCGAAATAGGGACGGTAGTAACGAGCGATCCTGATCCCGACTTGACGCTCTCGTTGCAGTTTTCCTTGCCCGGTCTATCCGTGCTGACGTCCGCTTCCTCCTCGTGGTGCTGCTGATCATAGACGAGATGTACTCCAAGCTGGAAGGCCCCGCTAAAACTGCTGTTCTCGTCACGTTCGACGAGTTCCTGCCAACGAGATCATGCACAGCTGTTGCATCACAGCAAGACCAAGAAGAGGAACGCGGAGGACGAGGAGGAGGAAGACGAAGACCACACGTGCAACCCGATGGATTGCCATAGCGTTCGGTCGAGATCGCGACCCTTTCCAATGACGTCATCCTCACTGTAGCTGTTCCGGTTGCGGCATTCGCAAACGTGTAAGCAGCAGCCATCTTAGCTGCACCTATCTCTTCGTCAATTCGACACGAGAAAGGCTGGCAGCTACCTCTTCGTCTGACCCGGTCAATCCGAGCTCGCTAGAAGAAGTGCGTCAGCGTTCGCACTCCGAAGACTCACAACTCTGAAGTTATTAGAAGCACATCAGTTTGCAATGGGTCTCAGCTTAGCTAGTAACCTCCTGAAGCAATCTCTCTCTCTCTCTCTCTCTCTCTCTCTCTCTCTCTCTCTCTCTCTCTCTCTCTCTCTCTCTCTCTCATTAGAAGCACATCAGTTTGCAATGGGTCTCAGCCTAGCTAGTTACCTCCTGAAGCAATCTTCCAGGAATCTCTCTCTCTTTCTCTCTCTCTCTCTCTCTCAAACACACACACACACATCAGTTTGCAATCGGTCTCAGCTTACCTGAAGCAATCTTCTAGGAATCTCTCTCTCTCTCTCTCTCTCTCTCTCTCTCTCTCTCTCTCTCTGGGCCCTCGCCACACCACTCCTGACTTTGGAAAATTTTCGGAAGTGCTCCCGGAAGTGAAAACCCTCTCGGGAGTGCCTTTCGCCACAGTACACTCTCGACCCGGCCGAGCTCCAAGTCTGAAAATGTCAATTGCCACATGTGCACACGACAACAAACGCACGCACACACACACACACACACACACACACACACACACACAGGTGTCACACACGCAAACACACAGTGTGTGTGCTCCTGGGTGGGAGATGGGCGCCCCAGACGCAGCAGACGTCCCCTCGCGGGCTGTCCACCGCCTCCTGTATCGTTGAAATGAAAGACTCTCGTTTCTGAGCAACTTATTGAAAAGAAAAAAAAAGAAAAAAAAAGGGCCTTCGACAACAACGAAAGATATCATAACTTTTTTTTTCTTTTCTTTAAAGGCTAATTCAATTACCTGTCAAATCTGGACAGGACGGCCTTTCACTTTTTTTTTTGTCATTATAGTATTACGGGGAACCCCGTGGCAGCCACATCCGTGCTCAAGCCTCCAACGACCGAACATGCGGGAGCTGCACCCACCGATGTAAGGGACGCTGGCCCGTTTCCCAGCATATTAAAATGTGATAAAAGAAAAGAAAAACAGAAAAAGAAAAGAACATTTTGTGGATTGTGGACTAGGTAGTGTGAGGAGAAATTGAGAGAAGAATATAGTGTTCCCTAAAGCTTTCCTGGAAAGGAAGTTGAGCGGGTAGCATCGAAAGTGGCCCATGAGAATGGCGAAAGGTCACCAAACTATGAGTATTTTTTGTGGTTTTCAGAAAATGTTTCAGCGATATTCAGGAAACGGAGCAAGGAGGGGACAAAAAAAAAAAAAACGAAAACGGAGGAAGGTGGCTGATGACGATCACCAAAGGTTACCAAGAAAAAAAAAAAAGGTTACCAAGAATAAGGCCACATCAGCACTATCGTCTATGTATCTAACCGCATTCAACACCATGCATGGACGTATTGACCGTACGTCGAACGTCGTCCCGAAATAAGCAAAAAAAGTCCGAGTGTGTGTGCCCTCACTGGCATACCGCGAGGCCGCGGGCTCGCAGCCCGTAGTGCCGACCAGCGTAATATGGTCGCAGATGTTTGTTGCGTAGTCACATGAAAAACCAATAAACAGGAAGTTAGATAGGGCGGCGTCCTCCCAGCAGAGACTTCTGATGTTTTGCCCTACCAAAGGAGTTCCAGCGTTATGCTATTGGCTGCCAGACATCAAGCCTGTTTTTCGACGGGTTTTTTTTTGCCCTTTTTCTTTTTGGCATAATTTGCAAAATACCCCCATAAGTTGAGATATATGCCAAAATGCCCCTAAAAGATGTGGGTAGAGCGGAATACCCCTCTGCCAAAAATAATAGTTTTTGAAATGCCTCTAGCATCTGTTGGACCCCCATATTTGCAATATACCCCTACCGAGTACCGTCCAACGTTGCAAAATGCCCCAGTACTTACCAACTTTTTCTAAGCTCAATTGCAAAAGGCCAAGGCCCAAGCGGGGAGGTCCAGATTGCAAAGTCCAGATTGCACAGTTGTACACCCGCCTGACAGGGGCACAACAGAAAGATTGGGCCCAAAAATCTTAAACTTTCTGCCCCAGGGGGGGTGGAGAGGGGACAGCCTGGCTGTGGTGGCAGTATTGCAGTAGGGAGGATGGTGGACATTATGTTTGTTCATGTATGACATGAACTGAGATATGATCCAAAATGTGAACCAGTAGAAAAGAGCAACAGTTTGAGAATGTATACAAAGGTAGGCCATGCCACTATTTCTTGCTGTTGCCGGTTTAAACGAAGGGCACACTCACACATACCACGTATTTTTGCAAAATCGCAAATTTTATGTAGTTTTTCGGGTCACAAGAGGCACGTATTTCACGTGTTCACACAAAAGGGCACGTAAATGTCAGCGGCCTGGACAGCCGCGGGCTTACATATTTTGCGGGGACCTCCAGAGGTCCCCGCAAAATCGTATTTCTTTTTCCTCTACTGCTTTCTGGAAGCAAAAAAAAAAAAAGAAGTGCATTGTGCTGTCTGACTGCACACAACGTATTTTCGCATCTCAAGGCCAGGTCGCGACCCTGTCCTTTCTGCTTCGGGCAACAAATGGGTGAGAGGTGTGACCCGCAGGTGCCATTTAAATGCAAATTCACATACGTAAAATTTGCAGAAGTATGTGCTAGTGTGAGTATGCCCTCAGACTCGTTTTCTTGCTTACTTCACATGCATGCAA